ATATAACGTGTTATCCCTGTGAGTATTATAATTATGTTTATTCACCTTCACCCTCTAAAAATCTTGAAATCAGCATTAATGTGTATGGAATACATTGACACATGATGATGATTACATTCGATGTTTCCCGAGTGTGAGAACCTAATAGCATGTAATTAACACCTTATACATAACCATAATCCGTCATATGTTGAAATATACTAGAGATGTATATATACATCGAAATATAAATAGAAAAAGCTATATTAATATCTCTTGATAGTTATTTGCCTGTTACACGTATCTCAACAAACTAAACATTAACGTAAGTAGAATGAGACTGCAGAAATTATCAGAGAAGTCGGCTAATTTTATATCACGATCTTACGGATATCCACATTATGAGAGTCCGAACATATAATCTGAGAGATGCTGAATATAACGACAGAGCTCTACAGCCTAGTCTTCTGTCTTCAGTTATTCCAACACATTCTATCCGAGCTACAGCTATGTGCACGTGAGAAGAATATTCATCGCATGTCTGAACTGTATCTCCAGCTATGATCATTACTATAACAATGAAAATTTGTGCGGACAGCTTAATCTGTCTGAGCTTCAGCTCTTTAGATAAACATGCGCAGAGCGTATAGTCTTGACATCCAGAGGAAGCTAGAAGACCAATTCGAAATACACGAAGCGAGGCGAATGAAATCTAAACAGAAATTAGAAGTGCTCGTGTGCATATCCGTAGGATAAATAATAATTTATGTATTTAATCGTTCTTAACGTTCTGAGCAAGACTAAGTGCCTGAAAAATAGATAAGCCCGCTGTCAGGAAATAACCGATGAGAAGACGAATTTACGTACACCCTAAAATTATCAAACGGAGCTTACTTAAAGTGCATTATCCGAGGCAGCGCTCGATCTCTAAGGTTAGACGGAAATGCAGGCATTCAACCAGAATACTATTGCCAATTCTTGCCATTCTACACAGTATATAACAGCGATCGAAAGAGATATATAGAAGCGAAGAGACAGCGTCGCCGGAATTTAGCTAAGGTATAACATGTTTCGGATACAGTACTGTCGTATTTTTAGTAGATCACCATAGAACAGATACACACTATATGTTAAAGTCGCTCGTGTGTTTACTGAGCGCAAGATGAAAATGCTACATAGGAGCGGAAGAGGAAAGTAATACCCTATTTATGATCATGAATTGAGCGTTTCGAAGTTTAGAGTGAGTGCATATAGAACATAATCTTAAGAGAGATGAATATGACAAACACTCTGATTCAATTAGTGTGTGTCTCTCGGTCTTTCATGGTTGAACGAGATGTTGTGATACACGTAATACGTCTGTGAATTTTCTATCAGGTGCTATTTTCTCGCACAGAGACTGATAAAGCGACTCCAGTCGAACTCGCGCAAGTTCTCTGGCATTGACATATAAGATCATGAAACTGTTATAATCTGCATTGCTAGAGTAAGTTATGACAGCATGAAACATAGACGCTCTAAGACATGGTGTTCGTACCGTAATACCGCGCAGACGAGAACTCTAATGCACATAGTCTGAGCTTATCAATCCCTGACGACTCTCCGCCTGGTCATGAAGCTACTGGGATCCAATACGCGTATCTCTCGTGTCAGGAATGTTCTTCAAGTATATGGTTATAAACTATTCAGCACAGCGTCAAAACTGATCCTAGGAGCCTATTGGTCAATAAGATGAGACTTACAGTTAAACCAGGTAATCCGCGAGCAGAAGAAATCAAGAAGCTAAGAGCGAGAACTATGAGGTGGATACTCAGAATTGAACAACATATCAAAACGTACATATGAATCAAAATAATAAAGTACTGATAAAAATAACCTATTAACTCCATCTAGCGCTGAAAGTCTATATTAGTTGTACCCACACGTCCCGATAAATATCACGTCAAATATGTAGTGACAATTCTACACAGCTATCTATTCGTCAAGTAGAATAGTTGCAACTCTCGAAATTAAATTGAACTGCCATGGTGACATTCATAAAAGTATCAATTGCATGCTATCAAATACATCATCAAGCAAGTATTTGAACTGAGTACATATAATCTAACAGAGTCATCTGCATTGTAGGTGAGGTTTTAGTTACTTTATTAGTAATTGATTTAGAATCTGATCTCTTTTTAAGAGTATAACTATGAAGCTCTAGAATATAGTTGACTGATCTTGACACCCTACATAGCGGCGTCCCAACTCCCTATCACACTCACGTCCCCAGACAAATCACTCAATAGACGATACACATCGGAGTACTATATTGAAGCTCTATCTCGACATCTCATACAGACTTACGTCACCTCATATCATGTATGTACGTGCTCAACACAACTCTTCTCACCACCATCGATAAGCTGTAAAAATCAGCCACGGAAATTCTAATTCTTGTCACCCCGTTCATGTTCAGCCACCCGAGCTCTACAGCCAGCCTGTCATCTAGTAGCATAAGACATCTACTCCTTGACGTGCGAATCGCCAGCGCGTCTCCCAGCCTAAACGATGCAGAACTGCTGTGTCCAGTTGTTTTGCGATGAGCGAGATCAGGTAGCACTCTGATGAGGAGAGAACCCCATTAGTGCACTTGTAGTCGGTAGGCGATGATGAAGGCAGTGCGGCCCGAGATAAGAGCACGGCCGAGGATTGAAGGATTGAGGGCGAGGACGAAGGTAGAGAGCGAGGACGAAGTAGAGGCCGGCCACAGAGTTGTATGAGTGGTGGTATAGAGCGAGTGACGGAAGGTTGTGAATTAGCGTGGACTAAGGTAGAGAGCGAGAGCGTAATTGTTAGAGCTGTGTGGAGAGTCAGCTAATGGTAGAAGCTCGAGAGACGAGATGAGTAAGCATGTGAGACGTATTGGTTCGAGGATCGAAGTGAGGATAAGCGCAGATCGTTGATGGTTAGAAGCGAGATCGATATGTGGAGATAAGCAGAGGTCGAAGGTAGAATCAGATGGATTCGAGGTAATATCGAGCCGACGTAAGGGTAGAAGCGAGGACGAAGGTATGCGCGAGGATCTAGTCAAGGTAGACAGCGAGGACGAACGGTAGACGCGAGGACGAAGGTAGACGCCGAGGACGAAGTAGACCGGCGACGAAGGTAGCGCGAGGAGCCGTAAGTATGAGCAGCAGAGGTACGAAGGGGTACGACGCGAGACAGAAGTGAGACGCTGAGGAGCGAGAAAGGTGTAGACGTAGTCAGGACTGAGTGTTAGACGTGCGCGAGCTGTACGTGATAGGTAGTAACTCCGAGGGACGGAAGGTAGAGCGTGCTTGAGGTCTAGACGTGGTCAGGACACAAGGTACAAGTAGACGCGAGGACGAAGGTAGACGCGTATTGGAGCGAATGCGTATAGAAGCGAGGACGAGTCTAGACGCGAGGAGCTGCTATAGAGTAGAGCGCGAGACGACGAAGTAGAGCGCGAGAGGAGAGGCAAGAAGAGATAGACCGCGTAGGATCTGAAGCTAGACGCGAGGACGAGTGTAGGACGCGAGGACTAGGTTAGACGGTAGTCGGTGAGGACAAGAGACGCGTAGTAGGAACTAGATGTTGTATCTATCGCTAGTGCACGCTAAGTTTACGTGCAGCGCTGGCAAACACGGTAGGTAGAGCTGATAATACAGTCGAGCACCGAAGAGACGACCAGAGCGTAAGGTAGAGCGTCTGAGCGAAGGAGACGCGAGACGAAGGTAGACCAGGACGAAGGTAGAACCGCAGACGAAGGTAGCACGCCGAGGACGAGGTGGAGGCGAGACTATCCGAAGTGTGATTGCCCGAGGATCAAGATAAGCGATGAAGTTGGGACCCGGAGGAAGAAGAGCGAAGACTCCCGAGGAGGAGGAGATGTTACTGCGCGGGTTGCTTGCTTGAGCCGAAGAGCGCGCTGCAGCGCGGCAGGGTGGTCGGGCCCGTGAGCGCGGGCGCGGACGACGCCGCGCTGCGCAGCCCGTCGCCCTCCAGGCGCCAGCCCCCTCATGCGAGAGCGCAGTCGCCGACACGCGCCGCAGGCAGGCGGCGCAGCGCGGTGAACGACAGCGACAGGAACCTGCGCAGCTACCAAACACGGCAACTCAGACTCACCGTGTATCAGACCTTCTCTTATTCCGTGGGCCTCTTCTTTTTCTAGAAATGTGCTGAGAGTGATTGTATTTCCGGTTTCGGGACGCGTCGAAGGGCTAGGTCATCGACCAAATTTGAGTGCATGTTTTCATATTAGACGGTAGTGTGTTCTTCCCCAGCTAATGGTGAATCCAAAGCCCAAAAAACACTATCGACGTGCACGGTTTTCGCCATCAACAGGTATCTCAGCCTGAGGCACCCGCAGACAAGCTCTAATCCTTCCGGCTGGTTTCGCGACAAGAGTGTAACTGTAGTGCATATGGGAGTGTGATAAGTAGGAACTAGAACAAAAAAGGAAAAGGAAAATAGCGCGCTGTTCGTGGGACTGTTTGATAAGGCAATTCATCCAACATTCGCCTGTCTGTTCATGGGAGAAACCACGGAAAACTGCCGACTCAAAGCACCGCCTAATACAATTCCATTCCCAGATAGGCTGAATCGACTTAGCTGTCTGTAGATCGTGTACAGAAATACTGCCACCGTGCGAAATCGAACCATAGGACCTTCCGGTAGAAAGCACTCAGTGACATACATACTCTGTGTCACCTCCAGTCCGTAAAGGTGGCGCGCGATTCAAGCTCTGATCTGTAGAATATTTCATTTCTCCATTAAAACTTCGCATGGTATCATGTCGTTAGCGCGAAGAGAAGTTGAGATACAATTGTTGTTTAATTTGTGTTTGTGTGTTCGTATCTAAGTTAAGAAGTTTGAACGAAAGGCACATGCACTGCCTAACACTTCTTTCATCTTGGTCGGAGCATTCCCCCCCCCGTTGACATCTCCCCACCCCCCCGGTTGCAAATACGCATACACACCTCGTACATTCTAGTTTCCAGAGCTCGGAGAGTCTGTTGATGCTACAGACTTACCAACCTTCAGTCGTGGCGTTCTCGGTTCAAGCGAAAATAATTCAGTACGAAAATATTACTTTTAGGAAGTAATTCCACTGTCTTACATGACCCCCCCTGACACAAATGCGCATACACCCCCCCTCGTGTACTGTACGGGCTTCATCTCCGGATGAGCTATGTACCCTCCTTTGCGCCTCCCCCTCACCGGTGGTTCCGCTTCGGCATACACACACGCGCATGCCCGCTATTCTCTCACGCCCAGTAAGCGGCTTGGCGCCATTAACTCTACTATACAGGATCAACTAAAAGTATTAATTTAGAACCGCATTTAGATACCTGCGCTCGATCCCATACTCTCTCTATCCTCTCCATCTCGCCCTCTTCTCGACCCCTCTCTCTCGCCCTCTCGCTCTCTCTCTTTCTCCTTCTCACCTCTCTCTCTCGCTCTCTCTCTCGCCCTCTTCTCTCTCCCTCTCCTCTCGCCCCTCTCTCTCTCGCCCTCTCTCTCCGCCTCTCTCTCTCGCCCTCTCCTCTCTCGCCCTCTCTCTCTCGCCCTCTCTCTCGTCGCCCTCTCTCTCATCGCCTCTCTCTCTCCGCCCTCTGCTCTCGCCTCCTCTGCTCGCCCTCTCTCTCTCGCCCATCTCTTCTCTCGCCCTCTCCTCTCGCCCTCTCCCTCTCGCGCCCTCTCCCTCTCTCGCCCTTCTCCCTCTCTCGGCCCTCTCTCTCTCGCCTCTCCCTCTCATTGCCCTCTCCCTCTCTCGCCCTCTCACCTCTTCTCGCCTCCCCTCTCTCTCTCGCCCTCTCTCTCTCGCCACTCTCTCTCGCCCTCTGTGCTCTCTCGCCCTCTTCTCTCTCGCCCTCTCTCTCTCGCCCTCTCATCTCTCGCCCACTCTCTCTCGCCCTCTCTCTCTCGCCCTCTCTCTCTCGCCCTCTCTCTCATCGACCCTCTCTCTCTCGCCCCTCTCTCTCTCGCCCTCTCCTCTCGCCCTCTCTCTCTTGCCCTCTCTCTCTCGCCCTCTCTCTCTCCCCTCTCTCTCTCGCCCTCTCCCTCTCTGCCCTCTCCCTCTCTTAGCCCTCTCCCTCTCTCGCCCTCTGCTCTCTTCGCCTCTCCTCTCGCCCTCCCTCTCGCCCTCTCTCTCGCCTCTCGCTCCTCTCTCGCTCTCTCTCGCTCTCTCTCGCCCTCTCTCTCTCGCCCTCTCCCTCTCTTTTGCCCTCTCCTCTCTTGGCCCTCTCCTCTCTGCGCCCCTCTCTCTCTCGCCCTCTCCTCTCTCGCCCCTCTCTCGCCCCTCTCCTCTCTCGCCCTCTCTCTCTCGCCCTCTCTCTCTCGCCCTCTCTCTCTCGCCCTCCTCTCTCTCCGCCCTCTCTTCTCTCGGCTCCTCTCCTCTCGCCCTCTCTCTCTCGCCCTCTCTCTCTCGCCCTCTCTCTCTTCGCCCTCCTCTCTCCCTCTCCCTCTCTTGCCCTCTCCCTCTCTCGCCCTCTACCTCCTCTCGCCCTCTCTCTCTCTCGCCCTCTCTCTCTCGCCCTCTCTCTCTCGCCCTCTCTCTTCGCCCTCTCTCTCTCGCCCTCTCTCTCTCGCCCTCTCTCTCCGCCCTCTCTCGCTCGCCTCTCTCTCTCGCCTCTCTCTCTCTCGCCTCGCTCTCTCGCCCTCTCTCTCGCCCTCTCTCTCTCGCCCTCTCTCTCCCCCTCTCCCTCTTCTGCCCTCTCCTCTCTTGCCTCTCCCTCTCTTGCCCTCTCCCTCTCTCGCCCTCTCTCTCTCTCGCCCTCTCTCTCTCGCCCTCCCTCTCACCCTCTCTCTCACGCACCCTCTCTCGTCCTCTCTCTACCTCTCTCTCAACAATCACACAATTCTCACATCGTACACTCACGTATCTGAACTCGTAGAGTCCTTGGAAAGCTTTACTCTGAACTGCCTCGACACAACCACTCCATTTCGGACAACCAACAATGCATATGTTCCGGAATGTTTTAAATTTTTCCATGTTTCGCCTTACCCCATGAAACCGTTTCCTACTCATACATACAACACACACATACGTACGTGCACTGGGTCTACCTAGTTCCGAGAGGCCGTCGAAGGCCCGGGCTTGCACGCTCTCGAGGCGGCGTTGTCCGTTCTACGCTGAAGCGCGCGTCAGCGAGGCAGCATGGCTAAGTCGCGGCGCAGCGAGCGCACGGCGGTGCGCGCCAGGCGAGGCTGCTCGGGCGCGGTGGGCGGCGCCCAGGGCGCGGAGCGCGGCGTTGGCACGCGCGGCACAGCCCCGGCCCCGCGCACACCGCCGCCCG